TGAGGTGTCGTCAGCATGAAGTGTTGAAATGGGCCTCAAGCCTTCAATCACACCCAAAAGCTCACTTATTTCAGACAGGCGTCGACAGAAGGCCTCAAATTTTCCAAATATCTTATTTTCGCTATTTGAAGGTAAAGGTAAAGAAACAGTAACTGTATAGCAAGGTCTGGACAGAATGAAGATGGTACTTAAATGAATATCAGCAATTTGGCAAAATTACTAGTCCGAGGCTTCAAAAGTCTCTCAGTCAATAACTTCCTTGTGACGTATTATGATTCACTTCGTTTGCTAAACTCTTATCAAATGTCTTCGACTGTATAAATAAATCCGCATGTGATTTGGTGGTGGCTATTCTCCTACTTACATATGAAATAATATGGACTTACCTCCACATGGTGCACCCTGGGCAACGTATGCTCATAGGTCACAAAGAGTTTATAAACCGACAGCTGGCTTCTGACCCCCACTGTATGTCATACTGCAGCACTTACGCAGTAATCACCCCCATCTTACCTTTTCTCTACCTTGGCGTCAGTCTCTATTACATCTGTGAATCACTCTTCTGCCCCCCCCCTCTCGACATTTTGAGACTTTGATGTTCCTTACATCTGTGAACCCCCCGAAGTCAATTAAAGGGCTAATGATAACTAACATAAAACCTGCCATTTGGCATAAATAAATTTGTTAAAATATCCAAGAAAGTGGAATTTAAATTGTGCAGGCTTGAAAACTGACCTGCAATTGAGTTGCCTCCCGCTAGGATTAGCAGCCAAATCCTTCCTCGCGGTTTGGAAAATTTGGCGGTAGAATTTGTAGAGATCTATACACTCATTGATCCTCTCGTTAACGATTTCACTAATGAATAGGATTGAGAAAAAATATTGTCACTGACGATTATCTCAATCAAGCGAATTGGATGTCCCCCCCCCCCCCACCTCGGTTTCCACTTTATTCGTACTTTTAATAAATAAACCAAACAGCGGCAATGCCCACACTTATTGTTCCTCATTATCATTTAACAAAGGCACACAAAATAGGTGGAAATTTTGTGGTTAAAGTAGTGACTCGTAGTGACTTTTTACCACCCCAATGATTAACCATCATGTTTTCTTCCCTCTTCCCTTTAAATTGTGTTCCACAAAAGGACTGGGCTTAACATGTACGGACGAGCATTCTGCGCACCTTGTCGTGTACGATTCCCTTGAGTTACCTATACCCTAGCTTACTGGAATGTCCACGGTGTTAAACGATTAATGGTAAGACTTGAAGTCGTCAAAATCCAATCCTATACTCGCGAAGTGCCCATCCGTGTAGGGTTGAAATTTGAGGGGAGAGCCAAGTGGGTGTGCGATAGACTTACCTCCACGTGGTGCACCCTGGAAATATGCCTTCACTATCAACATCTTATTTGGAAGCGGAGGGGTGTGTGCGATAGACTTACCTCCACGTGGTGCACCCTGGACAGCGTGCGATAGACTTACCTCCACGTGGTGCACCCTGGGCAACTTTCAACCCTTGCTGGTTTTCTAAACAATTATTCTTAAGAATACGATAGACTTACCTCCACGTGGTGCACCCTGGACAACGTACTTTCAAATGGCAGGCGTTATGATAGGTATCATGGGGTGTGCGATAGACTTACCTCCACGTGGTGCACTCTGGGCAACGTATATTCATACGACAAAAAAGTCTATAAACAGGCAGTTGACTTCTGACTTCAAACTACCATGGCCGACTGCATGTCATATTCGACCCCTTCCACAGTACATATCTCACCTATTCTCTCCCTTTGTATCTGTCTGTCACCTTTTAATCTGTGAATCAGTATTCTGCCCCCTCTAGTTTTTTTGTCACTTTGATGTTTTTCCTCCTCTCTATGAAGCCCGAATTCAGCTAAAGGGCTAATGAAAACCATCAAAACGCCTTCCATTTGAAATAAATTAATACATTCGCCAAGTTAAAACCCCCAGGAACTGGCCTTATGAGAGAAGCACATTAACGAAGTTGGACATTGAAACATGGCAACGTGTTCGCCCTGAACTGCGTATGGGAGATGATATGAAGGATTTGCTGTTCACGCCAGTTTGGGCTTTAAGACTGTAGTTTCTCACCTATCTCTAATAAGAAAGACAGAGCTTTCCACCATTTCCTGCATCCCCCTTGTACAAGTTTCACTTTGTTCTTCCTATAGCTCAACCCTCTCCATTCAAGTTGCTTTTAAAATTGTATTTATTATTCTAATCCGTCTAATTGAACTTAACTCTTTCCTCTTTCGTCATTTTATCCCCCCCCCCCACTAGCACAATCAGCAATATCCAATTAGCAGGTCTTTCAATCTCCTGTATCATACTGAAGTTTGCTTGATCTAGTTTAACAAGTTTCCTCAAGACTTTCAATTGAATTCTCATCTGTAACTTTTTAAAACGTAATATACACCAAAAGCAGCACAAAGTATTAATTGGGTAATTTGAACAAAGTTCTATACCTTGATAGACACCAAATTTTCTCCACTCCAGAATAAAGATAGTGGCGACATGATCCGACCATTTGATTTGTCACCTTAACAAAGAGTGAAGTAATTCGTTCAGTTGTATTAAAGTACTCCGACACTTCAAAAATGACCTTGATAGAGTTCACTAGAGCCGGAATATCCTCCTTCAACTTTTTCTAGAGATTTCAAGTTGAGTTTATTGAGTACATTGAACTTACTGGATCATTGTGAAAAATAGAGCCAAAGTACTTGTTGAGACCAGAGAGGAAGTGGACATTGCTTTTGGCTTCTATTGCATAAATGGACAGCTTATCTCTCTAAAGTCAAGTAATTCTTGGTTAAGGGGGGAATTTCCCACACAACAATTATTCATAGGTATTTATTTTCCAAATTTACAAGTTCATTCCACAGATCCAATGAGGTTGACTTGACATTAGAAAGAGTTCCGATAACACTTGATACTTCTTTACTGGTCATTCGCTCAGTTAGTCTTAAAACAATTAATATAAAGAAAACAATAGGTAATAAATAATAATAGATTTCTTATTGATTTTCAAAAAAATCAAGGAGGTAGTGTTTTTGTTTTAATCCTATGAATCATAGGGAACTTAATGCATGAAGAAAGCAACTGCCGATAAGGCTCTAGGGATCCACTTCACAGCAGTGATATCGATTTATCCCAGTGACATTGAACACTATCTTAAAATGAGAATTTCATTTGCTTTCTT